ATACTCTTGCGTGAGTGTTGAATCTCTTCAGTCACACTGGAGAGAGTGATGGGGAGCCTTTGAGGGGCGTGAAAACCATTCACTGGAAAGTAGCGGGAGCTTTCCTCTTGGGCCGCACGACATGCGGCCGCTTTGATCCTGGTTGGCTTAATGGCTACGACACGCACGCCCAGTGGCACGATGGATGGCGGCGACCGTGGCTATCGTCCGAGGAAGAGCAGGAAGAGCGGGATAAAGATCCAGAGCACAACGTCACCGGGCATTTATTTCAAGCACCCAGCATGCGATTCTTCTCTTCTATTGGGCGCTTGGAGAGTAGAAGAGTATCATGACAATTCTTCTTTGGTCTTTTTTATTTTATTTCAGAACTGGGGGCGTCTAATCGCTGTATATAGGTACCCCGCTGACATGCATCAGCTCACCCATCGGCCTCCCAAGGATAAAAAATGTGGTGAAATGCACTGCATAGGGATCGACGACCGCTGTCTCCCTTGCCACTCGCCTGTTTGACTTACATACACATTACCGATCCCGAATGAAACCCCAAAGGCGTCATGACGGCATATGAATTGGAGTATTCCATCGTATGCGCAGGCGATGGATTGGAAATCGAAAAAAATATCGAGAACTGGAGCGACTACGAAGCACTTCCCTACTCCTAACCAGAGCGGAAAAGCGTCAGATTCCGGTGGACACATTCGTGTCAAGCCACTGCCGGTACTGCCTTGTGACGCTTCGGCCCGCGTCGAGCGACAACGAGAATAATTCACGGCGCCAACAGAGGGGAGAAGGGACAATTTACAGACAGGAACCCTGTCAAGCTGAGATACCTTTCTATTCCCCCACTTTAACATCACAGGGAGGGGGGCCTTTGCTCACAGTTTAAACAGCTTAGAACCATGCTCGTGGTGAGGACCCCTGCTGCACGGATGTTCTGTTGGCTGTAAATAATTATAGATCGAAGTGTAAAAACGACAGAAACCCCCACTAAGGCATCATGGGGGCTGCTGCCTGCAAAGCCTAGTGGCCAGGTTGATTTCGCTGACATGACAGCATGATTTATCCGGCTCGCACTGCCGTGGGCTTGGAGCAGGCTCACTGATTACATGTGATGAGTAGGCATATTGTGTGTACAGTAGTGCATGCGCGCTCAAGAGGTGAGTCTATCTAGGTAGGCGCATGCATGGTGACGTACCAAGACCTGCCGTACGATAATGTTTAAGCACTTTGGTGTTCCTATCCTTTGGTCAACCTGAAACGATAGTGTGCCTGGATTATGAATAAAATTCAAATTCTCTAATACCTGCTCTATGGTATTCTGGGGCCTGTCTATCCTGTGATGCAGTATCATCTTCTGTTATTCAAGACTGGGTGGGAGAGTCAATCCCAAGAGGCTAGTTTGGTTGCGCCGGACCTTGATCTGCCTTGCTGGGCAAGGTGATGGTTGTAATTCAACCTGAGATTATTTATACCAGTTGGACTAAAACGTCCAGAGCTTAGGCCTGTATGAGGATGCCAGCCGAAACGGTGCTCCTTAAGCTGTTATTCCTGCGAATGAATCGTGGGACTTTACCGTTTTCGACTGATTGCAAAACACGGGTAATGGTTTCTATGGCCTGAAAATGGGCCTTGAATATGAGTTGGCAATGTTATGGTTCCATCATCCCCTCATTCTTCCGGACTGCAAAGAACCCGAGCTTTGGTGATGACGTTCCTGTACTGCAGGTGGCCGCCGCTCTCGTCGCCCTGCTTGATCAGGCCGGGGAACGCGACGCAGGAGATCTCCCTCTCCGCGAGCGTGTCCTCGTCCTCGCCGCCAATGTCCTCCATGGTGCTCGACTCGAAGAGGGTGCGCTGGTGGGGCACGATGGTCGGGGTGTGGACGCGCAGGATGGCCTTTTGGACGGCGAGGAGGCGCGCCAGCTCGATGGAGTTGTTGACGAGGACGCGGAGTGCGTTGTCGCGGTTCTCTGATGTGGTGGTGGTAGAGGAGGCGGATGACGAGGATGTTTGGGTGGTTATGGCGTCGAGGAGACGGTTGATGCGAGAGATGACTTGCTCGACACATGCAGAGGTCTCTTCGGAAAGACGGTGGGGGGCCTCACGGCGTATGAGAGAGAGCGTAGAGGCTCGCCATTGATTTACAGCTTCATCGGCCGCAGCTGATTGAAAGTGCTTGTCAGCATGGGGGTTTTATCATGGACGGTGAGTTGTCGTTCTTTTGGCGTGGGGACCTACTGAATGATAAAAGGAGCTGCTCCATCTCACGGAAGCTATTCCGCTGCTCCTTGGACATGCCAACGTAATATGTATCAAACACCATCTCGACGAGGATGCTAGATACTATTGACTGGAGGAGGTGCACCTTGGACGTGTGGATGAGTTCCTCAAACATGGGCACGAGGTCGCCCAGCTCCGCCATTGTCGCCTCGTCGGCTTTGCCTAAATCTGATTTTTTTTTCGTTCAGCATCCAGCCCTAATTGCTGAATGTCGGAAGGATGGAATTTCCCGATGGCAAATGGAAGGATACTTACCCATCTTGGCTTTCCGAAAATTGACAATGACCCAATTCTGCAGCCCGTTGCCCAGCTTGGTCATGCCCTCCCCGAAGACCTCGTCGCTCGTCTGGTCGTCGGTCCGGGTGCTGGTGCTCACGAACTCCTTGAGGCCGCGCACCTGGCCGCGAAGGCCCCGGATCTCGTCGTCCCGCTGCTTGAGCTCGCGGCGCAGCACCTCCCAGCCCTTGCGCAGCTCCTCGCGCTCCAGCTCGCGGACCTCGGCCTCGGTGCGCAGGAGCCTCAGCTCGGTGTCGGTGCGCAGGAACTGTTGGTTCAGCGCGCTGTACTTGGCCTGCCAGAAGGTCGTCATCTCGCTCTCGTTCTGGCTCAGTTTGTCGAGCTCCTTGTGGAACTCGTGCTCCATGATGCCCATCTCCTTCTCCAGGTGCGCGATGCGCTCGTCCTTGTCCTTGAGGGCCGCCGACGACGCCGCCATGGACACGACGCCGGCCTCGCGGTCCCGGAGCTGCTGCGGCTGCTTGCCCTTCAGGGTCATGCTCCGCCGGTTGGGGTTGCTGCTGGCGCTGCTGCTGCTGGCGCCCAGCGTCGGGCTGCTCCCGCTGGCGCCGTCCTTGTCCTTGGCCTCCTTGTCCTTCTCCTTGCGGTCCGACAGCGTGACGCCCCCGCTGCCGTCGAGGGAGTCGTCGTGGCTGGGCGAGGGCGGGCTGATGACGGCGGCTCGGGGTGGCACGGTGGGCATGCTGTTGCTGGTCGTCGTGGAGCTGCCATCCTTCATGCTGGCGTCCTTGTCCTTGACGTCCTTGTCCTTTGAGCCGGCGCGCTGCCGGGTTGTGTGGTGCGAGTGAGGACCAGCACGCAGCACGTGGGCGCCGCCTCCACGCCGCCTGTCAGGCGGGTTCATGAGTGACCTTCGAGGCTGGGGATGTCCGCCCGTCCTGTGTCGGGGTGTTGGAGGAGGTGGTTTGATGTGGGGTTCGATATCGGGGGCAGTGGGTAGGGTCGACTGCGGCTGAGCAGGTCGACTATCGTGCGTAGTGGGTTCTGGGTTCGGTCTGGGAGGCTGTTCATTCGGGTCAGGTCGAGATGAAGGCGGGGAGAAGCCGTAGATGATGACGGCTCGGCATGGTGGCTGAGGTCTGCAATGCGGTGGCCGCGGGCGAGAAGGACGGGAGCTTCGTACTGTCTGTCCTCTGTGCTCGGTTGCTGGTGACGATGGACGTGGTGGTGAAGGAGCAACGAGCCTCTGCCTGCCTGCCTGGAACACGCTGTTGATTCTCTCTCCCTGGGTCCCTGGACCGGTCCCTCTGATCTCCAACTCCACCCGTGTGCGTCGTAGTCGTCGTTGCTGTTGGTGTTGTGCTCGCGGCCGGGCGGGGCTTCTCGTCTCACGCAGGTCACCTCAACGCAGTAGCTCATGCAGCCCGTATCGAGGTCAGCTGATTGGGGACTAAGGCCGTGGAGAGCACGCGCGAGGTGCAACTATCATCATGTGGAAAGACAGGATTCCGCAGCGCCTTTTGCTGCTGCCTAGAGTCGAGGTCCAGTCAGATCTGCAAGGTCAATTGGCCGTATGCAACATGGATGGATCACAAATGGACCTGATAAGCCCCGGGATAATTTCCTACCTGGTCTAGCTACTGCCCCTCACCCATGTCGCCGCTCCTGTGTGCCAGCCTTGAGTCCGGCATGGACTCCCTCAATAGAAGGCATTATCAAGGCTGATGTAAAAGAGTAGGAATGAATATGGAGTTAATTGAATATCTTTGCTTGTTGGACTTGCACGCCCCTGCTCATCGGTAGCTATGGTGGCTGTCGTTCTCACACCACCCTCATACCTGTGCTCTCATGTGTCCGAAATCTACGATCTAGATCGAGATTGTACAATTGGAATGCTTGTAGACCCGAATGGCTTTTTATTTTATGGTTACGTATCATTCACGAAATAGCAATTGCAGACAGTACAGCGGTTCTAAAGCTTGTTGATGACTTGTCCCTGCCTCTCTTACACCCCAAGATACCAGGTCGTTTGCGAACACAATCAATAAAACGATCACGTATTACGCAAATGTAGAGTATAATAATAAAAAGTAGAAGTCGAATGCATATTTGGAATAACCTAACCTCATGGACCAGATGCATTAATCCATAGCATCACCAACCAGCCTCCAGATACAAGATGGTTTCTTCAAGGACTTTTGCATACCCTTTGTTCTTTGAATAAATGATTCTAAAATATGTCTACTCAATGGAGCCAAAACTGTTCCGTATGCTAGACTCACAAAAGGAGCACTTTCAGGTTTCTTTGCCTCGCGTCTTGGGCTGCATACCTATAGACAAAATAGAGGGAATTATGGCCAGCTCATGTTATAGCAAAGGACATCTGAAACCATATCCCACAGCTTCAAATATGCCAAGGTATACAGATCTTCCAACGGGGGAGATATCAACATCAACAAACCACCACATATTTCCACCCAAGTCTAGAACTCAACCTCAGCCTCAACCTCATACGCCTCACCCAGCTCCCCCTCAACCTTCTTCGCCCCCATCCTGCACAGCGCGACCCTGTCCACCGGCATGTCCTCCAGCCAGGTGTGCCCGTCATACTTGGCCATCACGTCCCTCGCGTCCATGGCCGCCCTCTTCATCCTCCTGTCCTCGATGTAGATCGTGTTCACCACCGTCGCGTGCAGCAGCAGCGGCCTCTCCTCCACGGCCATCACCCCGGCCTCCTGGAACCGCCCCCGCACGAGCTCGCAGAACCGCCGCAGCAGCCCGCCCGGGTCCAGCGGCGGCGCGTACACCACAGACGTCTTCGACGGCGCCTGCATCGCCCCGAGCCCCTGGAGCGTGACCGTCAGCCCCGGGCCGCCCCGGCTCTCCTCCTCCATCATCGCCCTGGCCGCCGCCGTGTTCGTGCTGTTCACGCTCGACGCCGCCCGCGCCTGGTCCAGGATCTCCCTGAGCTTGAGCCCCCTGAGGAGGTCCACCGCCTGCCCGAGCGCGTCGCCCTTCAGCGCCATGACCCCGAGCGTGAGGTGCATGGTGCCCAGGGGCCGGACGGCCTGCGGGTGCACGTTGAAGCTGTTGGGGTCCGTCACGTCCGCCCGGAAGGAGGACAGCGTGCGCGCCAGCTGCGGCCCCGACAGCGGGATGCACACGAAGTGCGTCGGGGCTGGCCGAGGCGGCATCTCCTGCTGGTAGACACAGGCAAAGTTCTTTCCGGTCCAATGGCAACAAGATGGTCCAGCCGGGTTGCTAGGCTAAGGTTATCGAGAATGGAGTTTGTCCTCTCGGTCAAAGACGAAGGGGATTATCTTGAATGATACCGTTGTGTGTCCCGTTGTTATTCCACCTGCTCCCAAAATCCCGGTAAGAGTCCCTCTGCAACCTTCAAGTTAGCAGCTGAAAAAGTACAAATGTAACTACATCTTCAGACATAAAACAATGCTACAAGCGTCCATCGCTTCACGGTGTGCAGGAAGCATCGTCATCTGGGCCCACGCGAGCATCCAAAAGGAGGGTTCATGGAACCACGTAACATCGCACCTGCAGACGGAGGCAAAAAGCGACAAGTCAAGCAACAACGAGGGTTTGGGATTCCAGCAAGGTATCACCTACATTCGAGGCACAAAGTGGATGGGCGAGAGCTCGTGTTGATGGAGGCTCACGTGATTGTTACGCCTGAGCAACAGATCACACTGCAAGCGTGTTTCGTAATTATGATGCAACCAGCCCGAAATGTAGGTTTTTGGGGGCGGGAACATTGATAGGTGGGACATTTTATCTATTTGAAGGGACGGGACGGGAGTTTGACAGCAGTGTCAGCTCGCCAGCGCGGCAAGGACCCCACCCGGGCCAGCTTCTTTTCTCTGGTGGTAGATGCGATGGGCGCTGATGTTTTGTAGACTAGTTCTCCATCAACCTTCTTCTTGACGGTGGCCCGGGGATACGGCTGAGTCTATCGTGCTGTTTCTCGTGTTATGGCCTTGATTTTAGATAAGCTTGACCAAGTTAAGAACAAAATTCGTGATTGCGTCATACCCATGCCTGCCCTTGGCTGGAAGCCCGGGAAGCCGGTCACATCCTGGAGCATCTCACATAACATCACGCCGCGTCGCATTCACATTCACCGCTGCCCATATGAATCTATGTCTTATATTTGTCTTTGGGAAAGGGCTGCTTGGTACCACACTCCCACTCTCCTTCCCTTGGGGTTCGCCGGGTATGCAGCCAAAACAAAATGAACACAGAAAAACAAAATCCGACGTGGTCGGTTGCATGCTGCGATTCCGCGAGCAGAGCGCATGCGCGCATCTTAGCTTTTGAATTCCAATACTCCATAGCTTTAACCCTGCCGTGGCCGTTATTTCCCTACCCTAGCCTTCCTCTCCAAGCTGAGACGGCGAAAAAGAAGAAAAGAAGATTAAATAAATCGTCGGCTATGCGACATGCGTCACGGCCAGATATGTTCAAACGGGGGGTTGGGTGGAAAGGCTCCTGAAACCTGCCCTCTGGAGTCGGAACGGCGATGGCTGGAGATGGACGTGCAGGATACACGACCTGCCGCTGTCGTTCTCTCCTTGACTGTGTTGCATGGGCCGTTTCTCGTTGACTCATGGGTTCGGCTCATCCAGGTAAAACGGGAGGCGTAATCCCAGGGCACTCGGTATCGCCCAATACAAGGCGTTACGAGTCGAATTGAGCATAGTACTTCCTGAGGACCGTTTCCACCTCCTCGTAATCTTTCTTGACAGTTTGAATCGCTTCAGCTAGACGCTCCAGGCATAGATCCTCGTCGGGCTCTTCTGATCCGTCGAGATTCTCTTGCTTGCCATATCTCTGGATATGTTCGCAGCCATCCCGTACCTTTGTCAGGCCGATAGTTGCGGATGAGCCTTTCAAGAAGTGTCCCAGGGAAGAAAGCTCCTCGAGGTTTCTCTCGTCGCTAGATGTCCGAGAATGGAACATGTTAGATAATTATCCCCATCTTAATAATGGCGTCGTTGTTCGCAACCACCACCAGCCGTCCTTGAAAACGCATGGTGGTCGTCTTTCACAGAAAGGGAGCAATGGAGGGTGGGAATTTCTTTCAATGATGCGGTGTAATGAGGTGGCACTGGCATGAGGCTGAACGGTTACTTACAGCGCGGCGTCCATTGATTCGAAGGTCTCCCTGGCTTGGTCAAAGAAGCCGAAAACAATAGAGTAGCTGAACTCATGGTCGTCTGGCTCGTCCATCTCCAGAATCTGGTTGAAGGTGTTCAAGTCCACAAGACTGCTGTCCAGAACATCTTCGGGCTAGTAAATTGCATCCCGGTCAGCTTCATTAAATTTGGTACGCGGAGGGAGAAGTAGGAGCTAGACACCAAGACCTGCAGGCTGGTGGGTGGATGAAAGGATGGGGAAATGGGATGGAGAGGGGAAGCAGGGCAGGGCAGGGCAGTCACCAACCTGGTCTTCAACAGGCGCCATGGTAGCAGTGCGAGTTTGCAATCGTGAAGCTGTCACGATGGAAACGGCGTGGAGGGGTTGGTTTAATGCGGTGAAAAGAGCTCGAAATCGAAGCCAGTACGTACGTACGTACAAAGCCGAGGGGTCGCCGGTGGGCACTGAGGAGGGTGCGGGATGGGTAATGAGGTAATCCCACCGATGAAGACGCCGTCAAGGGGACACAGTAATAAACTGGGGCCTCGAGTCCAGAAGAAGCAAGGGTGAGAAAAATAGAGGGCAGCCAGCGACGTCTCTCTTGCTCTCTGGGGAGAAGGGAGGGGAGGGGTGTGTGAATACTTGGTAGGTACCTCAACCCAGCAGTGAATGGAGAACGGCAAGCTCAAGATCAGTCGCTCTTTTGGTGTGAGATGTGGAGTGCCCTGCCGAGAAGAGCAACCACCTGATGGAAGGCCGTCGGGGTCAATGCTGGGCTTCCCGGGGTCATCGATCCATGCAGACCTCCGTCCCCTTCGATTGGGATACCTGCTGCATCTACATGGCTACGTCCCTCCCACAAGTAACTCAGGTTACTCAGGTAAGTATCGACAGATCCCACCTGCGACCCTACACACTGACGCAGCGTGGGGTGTTGGGCGATTGTAGAGGAACGGCCTTCCAAGCACCTACCAACTAACCAAGCCCGCGAGCTAGGCGACTAGTACAGTACAGTACGGTACAGTACGGTACAGTACTTACAAACGTCGGTAGGTAGCCGCGGCCGTAACACTCCTATGCTACCTGGCTATCTACCTTGCCACACGGATCCATTCACATTGGCATGACAATAGGATCTGCGGCGTTGTGCTGCCGGAAATCCCAAGTGCTGTGCGCTGATTATCGAGGCTGGGATAGATTGGCTGGTGATCATGCTGTGTAAGCCAGCTTCATCTCCCGCGTGCCTATGAAATCACTGATTAACCTTTTGTGGAGGCAGGGGACTATTAGCGCCAGGTTGGCAGCGAGGAAGAAAAAGAAAAGAAATGCATGGAAAAAGGGCCTTATATCCGACCAGCACCTATTAGCAGCCTGCCTCTGTAAGCAAAACGGTCGCAGCGGCCAACCAGGAAAATGGAATGAAGCAAAGTTACCAAGTCTCCGAGAATGAGAAGGGGGTGAAATACAACAGCAAGCCTCTCAGCGCTAGAAAATATCGACGCAGGAGTCTTGAAAGCGCCATGTATGTAATCCAACCTGCACCTAATACTGGGTTCCGCCAGCAATAAGCAACAGCTTGCAAGTCCTGGTTGCTGCAAGATAGAAGGATAGTTGCAAAGGCCAAGAGGATGAGGTGGGGTAATATCGCCAATCCTGGAGCACGACCTGGCCAATCACCTGCGAAGTGGACTCATAATACCGGCATGTATAGCTCACCATTTCCCGTCTACGATACATGCAACCACCCATCGGTTGTACGCATCTCTGCCAGGACGTGGGATGTGCTGACGGTCTATCTACGAACAAGCCATGGCAAGGGATCTACGGTAGTCTGGGGGCGGGCTTGACTTTGCATTATGATATTTAGCCACGACGGGTCCAATATGATGAGATATGTCGCTAAAGATACTGACTGTGGTTAGGAACGCCCAAAGCAGCTCCGAGGTGGGGTCCCGGTGGTTTGTAACGTGGTTGGCTCTCCCGAGGTGAGTGAACTTTCGGAGGGTATGTGCAGACAAAGCTAAGACAGAAATGGGAAAAGACTGGCATGCCGAGGGTGACTGCATGAGAGTGTGGTGGCAGTAGACAAGCAAGTTGCGCCCAGAGAAGAATCCAACAGGTATCTTTGAGCCTGGACTCCATCCTCGGGAGAAGGTAAACCTGCTTGGCCAACTTGCTGGAGGCAGATCCGTAATAAAGAGCTAGGGTTGGAAAAAGGGGGACCATTGGAGGGGACGTGGAAGGCAGGGTAGAGGGGGCCAATAATGGAATGCTAGCCAACCTCAGCAAGCCTGCAGTCGCCAGCGTCGTTTAGGTAGGTTGGTAATGTTGGTTTGCCAGTCATTTCGCGCTGCAGGTACTATTAGGTCCAAAGCTCGATAAGTACTTACATTAGTCTGTGGGAACTAGCAACTAGGGCTATGACACACGGTGGAGGGAAAAGAAAAGCTTTCTTGGTATGGCTAGCCTGCTTGCCTGCCTTGAGCTGGACATGATAACAACAACAGGTCCGGGGCGGAATAAGCTCCCACGGCTTCCACGGGTGAGCAGAAGGATCGCACTTTAGCCAGAGGTAGGAATGGACAGCAACGGGTCATGAGACCCAGTGGCGTCTACCTATCCTGCTGCCAGCCGGACTGGAAGAGAGAGCCTGTCAAGAGCATGTTGTTGGCTCAGCCGCTCTTTACCAGGGGCCCACGCGGCAATACCTGAGCAGAGTTTCTTGGTGGACGTAGCGTTTGGCTCCGCGGCGGAAGTTGTTCCCGGGGTCGCGGTTCGCTTGAGGAGGAGGTGTAGAATCCTGAGGAAGCTCCTAATTACGTGGCTCGCAAAATGTGGGCAAGCCAGCGGCTGATGCAGGCTCGCTCGTAGAACTTACGACCTTCGTGCCAAGCAGGAGCTAGTGGGAATGCCAGTGGGGAGCAGTGTGGCCGGCGGTGGGGACGAATGCGTGGAACAATTTGAGAAACCATCAGATACTGCTCCCAAAAGGCCTAATGAGAGCCCTTGTAGGTCATCCGTAGCTAGGTGCTTTTCTTCCGCC